TTTGCATTACTTCAACCAACACTTTTACCCACTGGGCCATTTAAGACAGTCAATGAATGAATTTTGGGGACTTATAAACCTAATGTCTCAATTAATACTTTTTTTACTGGAGCTCATATTACAATTTTTGTATTCTGAATTAGTATCTCTAGCATTCTGTATTACTGGTTCCCATATTGCATTAATGTCTATGCTTGGCTGGCTTAGCAGATTTCTGTGTTTTAGCATATGTGCTGATCCCTTAAGTTTTCATATTTTCCAGTGATATTCTCTGTCTATTATTTTAACCTCATTCCATAGAAGGTAGTGATCTCCCTTTTCCCTCCATATAAGTGACCATTATTATAAAAAAAAAAACTCATATAGTTACAACTATAGGTTACTTGATTGAATTTGACTCTTTTTTGTAATTTTAGATCTTAACAACATTTGACTTTCACTGTTTTTTCTCTTTTTTTTTTTTAATAAAAGGTTAATTGTTTTATCAGCTTCTAAACTGATGTGTTGGAGTAAAGTGGTTAGCCACTTGATATTTAAAAATAATAATAAAATATGTAGAAGATAAGAAAAATAAACCTGTTTTATCAAGAGTTTATATCATTTTTTACCAAGTTGTTCCTGCCTTCACAATAACGTGATTTTTATTCATGATTTAAAATTGTGGCAAGAATTGCTGGCTGGAATGTATTCTTGTATAAATGATTTATCTTATAAACATGAAAAAGATTTTGCAGAATCAATAACTGTTTTAATATTCATTAATTTGGGGGTTATTCATGAGAAATATTGTCTGACAAAGAAGAAAAAAGAAAACCAAGTGGGAAAATATAAAACATTCTTATATTTTGATTTATTTCAACCATTTTTCTAATTTTTTTCTAAGATGTTATTATAGACATGATGTTTCGGTCAAATACCATCTGAACATTGTCAGATGTCCATGCTATGAAACCTTAACATCAACCTGAAAACTTGAGTCATGTTCTTAAATAGCCTCAACAGATTGAGACTCTCATATGGATGCCATGCATGCTGCCAAACCTGTTCAAAAATATCTAAAATTGTCAGCTGTACACAACCAATTCCTAAGATCAGTGGTGACAAAAGGCTTTCAGTGAGTGAAGCCTGAAGCTTTTGGCAAAGATCATTCTTCTTTGAACATTGTAGACTGCTGCTACAGAATCAAAAACAAAGAACTGTACCAAATAAGACAAACCACATCACTTGAGGACTACCAACAGCAGCAATAACTAAAATGGATAGCACATGTAACTTGAAGAGAAAATAATGATATAATCAGAATGCTGACATTCTACATGACTCAAAATAGATGGTTTCAAAGTAAACTCCTATCAATACTGGAGAGAGTGCTAAAAGCTTTGGACTTGAGAAACCTGTTTTCCTGAAAAATTGTTTTAATAGAAAGCTTTTATAAATTTCAACTGAAAGCAATAATGGCTGCTCAGTCAATGAATGCCAAATGTTTCCTTGTAGGGAAATGACTAATATTACCATTACCATTATCTTTGGCTATAGGGTATCTTATATGTTGATTATTGTACCATTTTTGTCCTAAAGGTATCTGTTCTTGTTCATCACAGGGACAAAAATAACATACCAATCAATGCATGATATTCTATACAGCCCAGAATAATGGATACCCTAAAATGGTCACAGATTACTTAGGTAAAATATTGTGTATGTAATAACATCTGTAAGAATCAAAGATTAGAACAGGAGTTCAAATAAATCAAAATATATTAGTAATTTCTTATCTCAGAAATCAAAAACAAAATTATGGAACCTTCTTATAACAGAGAATGCTTTTATGATTTCATTATGTAAGTTGATATTTTATTATTATTAATTGTCCAAATTAGGTGAATCATTTAACCCCTAAAAATCTTGCACTATAAATGACACTGAATAATGCTGCATTAAGAATTGCAATATAAAACATTTAAAACTGATTCACTTGTCTTTCCTAACCTTCACAAATTGGGTTATTTCAGATTAGATCAGCTAAAGAATATAATCAAGTATACCTACTTTTTATATATATCCTGTAGGTCTACTGTAGCATTTATTGTATGAATACTTAGATTAGACAACTCTTCTTACCAAATAAACGAACACACACACAGACACCCACATGCATACACATGCACACAGAGTCAGTTAAGTGTCATATGTGATACATGTTTGGGTGATTATATCTCTTTCAATTCATGACTGACTAGGCAGAATATTGTTCCAAAGTAGGTTGTCATTTCTTTCTGCGGTAGACTGGTTGCCAACCAAGACTATGGGACCCAGTCTGTCTTGCTAATCAACCCATAGCTGGAGGGAGAAGAGATGGATTTGTCGGAGTTACCTCCTCCTTCGCTCCTTAAACTAAGAGAACAGGTCATTTCGACCTTGACCTCTCGTTTGTGCCCCCTATACACTGTTAACCCATGGTAGAGACTAGCAAGTTCCCCTTTTAGTTAAGTTATATTACAAACCTAGTTGTAATATTCCTCTAGACATTTTTAGGCCATAGTTCCCTTTAGCTAACCTCATCGTATTTTATTATAGAGACTTTACTGTTTAGGTTACCCAATTCTCTTGCTGGTCTCCCTTACCACAAGACAGTGGCTTCTCAGTAAATTCGCGGTCAGCGACTGAAACGGTAGGATATACAGGCCCCTGGCCTTTGCAGCCAGGAACGTCGATCAACAGGCTGTGTATTAAGTTATGCTTCCATTTTTTTTTTGCCTGCCAACTTGACGATAGTTGGAAACTTTCTTTCTCTCTCTCCTTCGCCTACTACTCTTGGCTCCTTGGCCCCGTTCAACTCTCGGCATTCTGTCCCTACTGGCTGCCTGCACCTCATCCTTAACCTTTCCCACACACAACGTTTGTAATTATTACGGGAGGTTACTAATATCGGACTCGACCGTCAAACACGCAACGCCTGCACTGAACCTGTGACATGCCTGAACAACGCCAGCTCTTCTTTCCTTCCCAACATGTCAAGTTGGCATCCCGGCCGAGACCAACATCAACTGCAACAATCAACTGCGATGATCCTGGCAACAACCCACATCAGCTTCGACTGCAACAACCAACAGCGACCATCCCGCCAACTTCAACTGCAACAACCAACAGCGATCATCCCGGCTGTGACCAACATCAAACTACAACAACCAACAGCGATCATCCCTGCAACGACCATCATCAACTTCAACTACAGTGATCATCTCTGCAGTGACCACCTGCATGACCAACAGCGATCACCTGTAACGACCAACCTCAACCATCAATGCCTGCACTAGAAATTCTGCACCTCTACCGTTCTGACCACCTTATTTTCTTTTCTAGAATAAATTAGCATATATCATACATATCCTCGTTCTGTCGTCTATATTGTTTCATCGTCAGATTTAACATCTTCGAAAATGTTAGCGGGCCTCTTGTGACCTCATCACCCTTTTGTGATATGGGGGTGCTCGGGTGTCTGCTACAGATTCATACCTTTCCCAAGGATATTTTTGTGTAAGTGAATGTAATGAAACTTACTGGAATTTGAACTTGTCTCTTCAATTTTTCATTCCAAGCCAATATCCATTAAAAAAAATGTCTTTCTTATAGCAACTATCAAAATTACATTACTAGCTCTTTCAGGAATTATCCTGAAACCCTTCTTGTACTGAAAGTTCCTGGTAGAAACAAAATTTCTATCTCATTTTATGTGTTCTTTTGTTTGTCTGATTCTTTCCAATCAACTCAGCACCAGGAGTTTTGTTTGTCAGCACACAATGCATTCTCAATCTCAAAGGTTACCAAAACTAACAATAGTAAGAGAGAGAGAGAGAGTGAGAGAGAGATTTTGTAAAGAGTCCAACTCTCGGAGTATCAAACACTCTAAATAAAAAAGGCATGAAATCAAATTTCCCACTATAGCTAATTCCTTTTTACATATAGACTGTTGTCCTCATATTTGTTGTTATTATCAGAATGTTTCAGTTGTCATGCCCACCAGCTTTCTTCAGGTGTTTGTCAATCCAGGTAACCTTCAGGGAATTTTTATCTGACCCCTTTATTTAATCTATGGGGTTTCTGGTGGGCTTCAATACTTTGATGAGATTTTTATGCTCCTGGCAAATTTGCCCTGCAAACAATTTTTAGTGGATTCATGTAAATCCAAAGGAAAAATAAGGCATGAAATTTGAACCAAGAAATATTAACAAATATATTGAGGGGACATTTTACAAAATGAAAAATGAGAAATGAAATTAAATGTGAACAGTTCAAAGCAACCTTCAGTGTTTGTAGTTGAGGTATTTACATTTTTGCAGTAGCGAAAAAAAACCCTTCTTTTTGCTATGAAAAATCACTGAGAAAGAGATGAATTTTTTCAAGTCTCACACCATCTGTAATTATTGTCAGTGGGTAGTAATTCAAAATTTTGCTGTCTGTGATCACCAGGCAACAGTAACCCAACAGGGGAAATTGTTCATGTTCCACTGCCTGTGGCTCAGGATATCTTGCCTGCTTCATATTAAGTACTACTCAGTTATTGCTTGCCCTGTTTTCACTGAGTCTAAGTCTGCACTACCCAGCCCAAGGATTGAACTCTCAATTACTGTGTCACCAAATTCACAAACCAACATTAGGCTATTATCCCATGGGAGTAATTATTATAAGCAGTACTAAATAAGAACAAGATAAGATATACTTAGCCATGGGGAGTAGAATGACAATTATCTACCCCCATAGATTAAATAAAGGGAATAATTTGAAATTCCCTGGAAAAACAAAGCAAATTACATTTATTTCAGTCAACAAAGAAGTGTTTATATGATAATGACAAAATTATTTAGAAATGATTTTTATTTTGTATACTTTTCCCTTTTCTGATATTTTTTATTGCTTTACACCAAATAGCCATTTAAATTACTTCTGGTTTGTATCCTGTAATTAAATGAAACATTTATTGCCATTTATTTTTTATTTAGTAATTGAATTCATCAAAGAGTTGATGGATTATGAAGTTGCCGATGCTTTGCTTGAGGGTTTGGTCAAACTGCTGTGTCCCAGTAAGAAAAATGTTGATGTGCCGAAAATTCTATCTGGTAAGAGGCAATATTTCTTCAATTTTTACTGCTGGGATTTTGCTATAGTAAAATATAGTAAAATCTATGATTTTCAAACAGGATAAATAAAAATACATCTTACCATATATGTCTGAAAATTGAGAGAAGTGAGGAAATGGCTTCTGGTTTGAAATCAGACTTCTCCTTTCCTCGGGTGCCATTGAATCTCATTTATGATGCAAAGTCAACCCTCCTTATACCCGCATCTCGCTTCTTTCTGGCAATCAACTGGATTAAAAACAATAATAATAAAAAATATAAATAAATAGATAAAATAAATAAAAATAATGATAATGATAATCATCATCATCATCATCATCATCATCATCAAATGCAACAGACCAAATACAGAAAAGATGAAAAGATAAACCTCTTCATGGCCAATACTCTGCCCATTCCAAACAAACTAATGTAGATGAACCCCATATCTATCAGTGGTTGCATAGTGCAGAATTAAAAACTGAAACTGAAAGGTTTATCCTTGCTGCACATGGCCAATGATTGTTAACTATAAATTACCAAGCAAACATACTGAAAAATTGTGTTAACACTAAATGCAGATTTTGAGAAGGCTATCCAGAAACAATTGGCCATCTTGTATCTGATTGCATTGTATTAGCATTAACTTAATGTAAAACTTGAGATGACAGGGCTAGCCAATATCTCCACTGGAAAATATGCAACTTTTATGGGAAGGAAACTGCAATTAATTGGTATGAACACCTTGCAGACCTTGCAGACAGAGGACCTGTAATAATTTTACCATGCACACAAAGAGAACAATAAATGCTGATGAAAGACCACAAAAACAGAATGTGCATTTTGATTGACATAGTTCTTGCAGACTGTAATATATCTTTCGAGATCTTCAAAAAACTATCAAAATTTTTTTTTTTTTTTTTTTGTTAAGCATTATGCCCCGAGCAAGGTGTGAAGCCACTAGGATGCAGGGGGTTGCAGAAGATTTGGAGCGAGAGCAGATAGGAGAGATAGAAGAAAGGGTGAGGAGAAGGATAGTGGGTAGATCAAAGTAACTGGAGATGTCAATTGACATTACATTTGAATAGTTGGAGATTATAGCTCTCAGGGAAACAGTAATTGGGAAGGGTGCTCCACAGGCGAGAGGTGCGAGGTATGAAGCTATTGGAGTAGAAGAGACGGCTATATTTAAAAGTTTCTACAGTGTAAGGGTGGGAGCAGGATGCCAGCCTCGTAGGGCGCTTGAATTCATGGAGTCTGGGAACCAGTGAGAGCAGCTCATCGGAGCAATTACCATGAAAGTATTTGTAGAAAAGACAGAGAGAGGTGACGGCGCATCTGTGAGAGAGTGACTGTAGACAAGACGCCAGATCAGGGCCAATTATATTACATATCCGTCTCTGGATCTTGTCAAGAACTCCAAGGTAAACAGAAGGTGCCCCAGACCATATATAGCAGCAATACTCCATGCAAGGGCGAATGGTTGATTTATATATTTGAAGTATCGATTCCGGGGAGAAAAATTTCCTGGCACGGTACAGAGAGCCAACTTTCCTCATGGTGGAAGAAGCAATTGACTCAATGTATTTGTTCCATCTCAGGTAAGCAGTCAACGTGAGACCGAGCAGACGCAGGGAATTGCTCTCAAGAAGTTGACTATCAGACTTCTAAGGATCTCTATGGTGATTAATAGAGAGTAGTTTAGTTTTTGAGGCGTTAAAGTTGACCAGCCAATTCTTGCCCCAATTAACAACCGATTGGAGTTCCACTTCAAGACAAGCGGCCAGGTTAGTTTTGTCACTGACACTAGATTTGTTTTTGAGGCAGGAGTAAATTGTAGTGTCGTCCGTGTAGATGCCAACTTGGGAATCCATGGCTTCAGGAAGGTCATTGATGAAAATAAGGAATAGAGTGGGGCCAAGGATAGAGCCTTGGGGAACACCTGCGTTCGTGGGATAGGAACTGGAGGAGAATCCGTTGAGAACGACCTTCAATTCACGGTTTGACAGGAATGATTGTATTAGATCAAACAAGATTAATACCATAACCCTGGAGCTTATGAAGAAGGCCGGCATGACAAACCCTATCAAATGCTTTGGAGATGTCTAGGGCCATGGCACGAGCCTCACCATTATTTTGAGGGGCTTGGTAGATGGTTTCAGTGAGGGCCCAAGCACATCAGCTGTAGATCGGGTGTAGCAGAAACCATATTGCTTGTCTGAGAGTAGATCATGGGATGTAAGGTGGTTAACCACTTCGGCATTGATTAGGGCCTTGAAGACTTTGCCAAAGAGGGGTAGGAGACTAATAGGAGGGTAATTAGAGGGGTCAGAGGGGTCTCCAGAGTTCTTAAAGACAGGAACAATGGATGAGGACTTCCAGCAGTCAGGAAAACACGATTCCCTGATGCAGTAATTATACAGTTTAGAGAGGGCAATGGCTGGTATGCCATCTCCATCACTAGCCTTGTTGGGGTCTAAATTGGAGATAATGCCCAGTACCAATGACGGGGTTATGTGTAAGCTGCTCAATAGGGCCTCAGTTCTTGGAGGGAAGTCTGGTATGGGCACACCGGAGGAGTCGAGCATTGAATTAAATGAGAATTTCTGAGCAAAGCATTCAGCCTTGTCAGTAGAGGAGGTCAAGACCTCAAACTGGTTGAATAAAGGAGGTATGGAGGGTTCTCTGTTGTTCAGGACACTCTTGCAGAGCCGCCAATAATCTTTGGAGCCAAATTTGCGAGATGCAATATGCTCCTTCATCCGAGCAGCAAATATTGACTTAGCTTCATTGAGGACATGCTTACACTCGTTACGGGCAAAGGCAAAGAGACGTTTATTGTAGTCCAACATGTCGCTACGAAATATGTGAAAGAAGTGGTTCCTATGGGCAATGGCGGCTGAGCAAGCAGCGGAGAACCAAGGGGAGGAGTGTGACTTGACCTTAAATTTCCTTGAGGGGATGAAAGCGTCGATTCCAGCTTTAACCCAGGATGAGCCCTCAGAAGCACATTCTTGGACAGGGAGTGTAAAGACAACATACCAGGGGACATCACGGTGGAAGTCACGGAATGAGTCCCAAAAGGAAGGGAATGAGGATGAGTTGACTCTGTGTATGCAGCATGGCATGCCTTAGTGGTGAAGGTCTGAACTAGTGGAAATGAAGATTGTAGTTTTTCTGAACATCTGCCATAGAAATAACAATAGAGTAGCAAATGTCTAGCAATGTTTTTGTCTGTGCGAAAGGCTTTGTAGGGTGGGAAATAATAATAACTCCATAAGGCTGCATAAATTCTTTTGAACTTAGCCAAGGCTGGAAAGTGAGGATTATTATTGCAGTACAATGATGATGATGATGATGTGATGATGATGACAACAACAATGACGATGATCATCATCATCATATTCGGGATCATCATTACCATCATTATCATCTTGCTAATCACAGCACAGTAGATCTAAAGCATGTAAGTCATTTATTTTCACTGGAATATTCTATAGAGTTTTAATCAAAAATGTGAAAATTTTTCTTGATAAGTTCTCTTTTTTCTAGACAACTTTTTGATTATTTAACCTTTTAACTCCTTTCACTTATTGGCTACTTGGTACATAAACAGTTAAATGGTAAATTTATCCCCCCTCCCATAAGTGCTGAACTATAAATCAACAAAAGCTGTTTATTTTCAGGCCTGAGGTTGAGTTTAACAAATCCCTATTGTACTTTAATATGTTTATATAGAAAATCCCTTTGGTATGATATGATCACAGAAGTTAAACAATGTTGAATCTGGTCAGTACTTAGATGGGTGACTGTTTGGGAATACCAGGTGCTGTAAGCATGGATGTGTTAGTGATGTAACAATAATGACTCAGAATTGGAAATCAAAGAGTTGATTTCCAATTCCAGACAGGTTTGTTATATTCACTTACACACAAATATCTTTGGGGAAGGTATGAATTAACCTCATCTTCTCCCAGCTATGGGTTAATTAATAAGAATTTTATCAGTAAATCATTATTATCTCAAAAAAATTCTTAAAATCTAAAAATATTTTCTGGCTTTAAATAATGGGCAAAAGGTTGACAAATTGTAAAAATCAAATCAATCAATTAATCAATTATAGTCAGAGCATTTTGGTGCATGTACTCTTTAGCCTTCTTCAACTTTTTGTCATTTTTGGAAACATTTTGGGAATTATGAACTAAACCCTTTATTCAATCCTTGAGGATAGAGTGTTCTCATTCATCTGACGATGTTAGGGAAGATAACTTGTATTAAATAAGGCTTCTTTCATAATTCATCCATATTTGCTTCTTTCACTAAATCAATTCCAGCTGGATTTGTTATATTCACTTACATGCAAATACCCTTGGGAAAGGTATGAATCCACCTCTTCTCCCCCCCCACCAGCTATGGGTTTATTAGTAAAACTTAGATCACTAAATCATTATTATCTCCCCCTACCAAAATCTTACAGTCTAAAAATATTTTCTGGCATTAAATTACCTGCAAAATGTTGATAGACCATAAAAAATGAATCAATCAATCTTTGATACGAGATATCACAGCTGAGGAACTCTAAAAATTGAACTCTTAATTATAACAAAACACAAGAAAAAGATTCTTCCTTGTTATTTAGCAGATTTTACTTGTGTGCTAATATAAATCCAATTAAATCTCAAAGGTATAATTTTTTTTCAAAACTGTCTTTAAATTTTCCACAAGGTCAAACAATAAACACTCCAGGTAATTCATTTGTATATGGCTTACCTGAGCCAAGAGATAAAAATGACTTATGACTCCATTTCTTCTTCTCACTTTATTAGAGCAGGTATATCTGAGAGTCTGGATGAAAGGTTTTCAGGAAGTTTGCTTTTCTTCACATCCCTTCTTTCTAAGCACCATTTATCTGCTTTCCTGTCCCCCTTTGCCCTTGGTTCCATATCCCTCTTCCTCATAAGTGGGGGGTAGTGAACACATTTAATGAAGGCTTTTCTATG